GCAGGCAAAAAATCACACAAAAGCATTTGTGGCGCCGTTTTTGCATGGAACCGGGTCGTTGGCCAACTGCTTTGGAAGGCGAGCATGAATCAGCGGCCCACAAAGCAACGCGCCCCTGGATAGCCGTCGCGGTCGCATGAAATCCCCACGTATGCTGGATCCTGTCACCAAGCAAGCCGTGTGCATGCGAGGCTTGAAGGTTATCAGCGCGCGCGAAGTCACCGCTCGACACAGCGCGATCGGGACGGGATTTCGAGGGGAAAAACACACGAGTAGGTAGAGTAGCGAGTCACCCAAGCGGGGAGCAGTCCCTGTGCCGACGGGCATCGGCGCCTTCCCAGCAGCGCACCATGGACTCCGCGCTGCGCCGCCCAGCGTCGACCTGCCTGCCGCGCAAACAACCCCGCCAATGGCTGAGCGTTGTTCACTCGCAGCGGGTGGGTGCAGTGCGGAGCTGCAAGGCCGCCAAGTGTTGAACAAGCGAGAAACAGGTGCCCGCAATCGCGTCCCTACTCATGGTCTTGGCTAGCACCCACCGGGCGCCCAATACGACTGAGTCCGCCGACCGTTACGTAGGCCCCTCGCCCGCATCTGCCCCGCGTGAGCATCCCCGTGCCCTTGCTATTGGAAGGCCCCTCCGCTCAGTAAATACACCGCCAGCCGGACATCAGCCAACAACGACAGGACGGGCGGGGCGGTCCTCGCCGAGGCTCAGTGCGCTTTGACACCCACGCACCCCCTCAGACAGCGCTAGGGGCAGGTCTGGTCGCTGCCATCACTCAGGCAATTTGCCCGCCGCTTCACCAATTGAGCGGCGACCCCACTTAAAGAGCCGTGTTACGCGGGAGGCGCAGTAACGCTAGGTTTGAGAGGTGTTTGTGCTGAAGGAGGCCAGAGCTGTTGTTTTATTCCTGGTTTGCGGAATGCTTGCAGCCACCGCCCAAAAAACAGCACCCGACAGTCCAACAGTCGCGGCAAGCAGGGCAGGAGCATACAATTGCTGGCCCCGCCTGGCTCGTCCTTCCATACAAGATGAGCCGCTGTGCACCTGGATGGTCGCCGCGTGGCGATGCCAGGTCGGATGCGTCAGTAGGTACAGTACTGTACTGTCACCTTGTGTGACGTGTTGAGGTACCCGCGTGCGGAGCACCTGCGTTGCGGTCCCGCCCTTGTGTGTCCAAGCGACTTGTCAATTGTATGCGAGATCCCCACCTGCATGATTCCACCTGCATGGTTCGACCCGCCGTCGCCCGCTCGAGTTGTGGTGACAAGATGCAGGTGCATGCTCATTCAGTGAGACGTGGAGGTCAACCAATCATGTAAGCAAAGACTGCCGCGCTTGACCAACGTGCTGGTTGCAGCACTGTTGTTATCCCACAACTGGCATCGTCCGTGATTCAACCTGGCATCATCCGTGATTCAACCTGGGTGCTGATCTGGTGTCTCGCAAGTGCTTGGATGCCGTCGCTGCCGCGTCGCTGGCACAAGGGCGCTGCTAAGCGCAGGGTTTTGGGCTGCTTGAGGCAGCGGTGCACTGCCAGGCTGCATGCGCCCGCAAAGAGGTACCGAGGTATGTAGTACCTGCAGGCTTGCGTGGCCTGGCCGCCTGAATACGTACTGCAGTGCGGCGTTTCCCTCCGCACATGTTGTCCCACCACCATCATTGGCGGTAATGAAGCGATTCTTCTTCTACTATAGGCGCAGCCTGGGTCGGAGGTTCTAATACATGCGGCCACTCAGCCACACAGCTGGTCACCAGCGGGGGGCTTGACCCGTGTCTGGAAGGCTTAGGGTTGCAGGGTTGGCCCAACCCCCGGGTTATTTTCAGTCGCTTCATCCGTGCTCATACAAACGCGATAAGAACAACACCGTGGGATCGATGTAATCTGCACAACGAACTTCTAACCAGCGACTTTCGAGTGTAATACCTTTGAAATACTGCCTATACAAGGGAAAGAACGATATGCTGCGTGGCTCGCCGGCCCAGCCGCGCAAGTGGCGGAAGCGGCTGCTGCTGTATGCTGCTGTGCTCGCGCTGCTGTCGCTGTACTGGCCGCAGGCGCAGATAGCGCTGCGGCTCAACAGAAACACGGCAGAAACCCAACGGTCCGCAACAGCTGCCCGGTCCTCAAACCGCAGTGGCGGCTACGAGGTGCGAACCCAAACAGACACCCCCCAACAGACCAGCGACACTGCGCCGCGTTGGCCGCGAGCCCGCCGCCCGCCCGCGCCCTGGGCTCGCGCCCCGCCCGCCTGGGGGCTGAGAGCATCCCGCCCTCTTGATGCAGATGATCGGGGGGGCCGAGGTGGTGTGGCAGCGGCCGACCAAGGAGCTTGGTGAGTGCGGGCCGTCGCGGCGGCACCACCTCCCACTTGCACAGGCCCTGCCAACCTCTGTGGGGCCCGATGCGACGCCGGGCTCAGCCTGGCGGCAACCGAGCGCCGGGCGCTGCGGCTGGCGCGTCCTGCGTCGGCAGCTGCTCTCTCGAGACGACCGGCGCCGCGCCCGGCCGCGTACCCCCACGCGCTCCCCTCCGCCGTCCGAACACCTCAAATAACCAACAAAAAAACAACCCCAGAGGGCGTCCTCTTTGTCGCCCACGGCTGCAACCACGCCGCCACCGACTGGCTGCCCAAGTCGGACGCGTGCCCCCGCTGCACCGGGCTGCCCGAGGAGACCAACATCACGCGCACGGCGCTGCGGCGCGGGATCGCGGTCGTGGCGGTCAGCAGCGCGGCGCGGCGCTCGCACCGCTGCTGGGACCTGTCCAAGGGCTCGAGGGACTTCCAGCAGGCAAGAGAATCGAAGAGAGGGTCTGGGGGAAGGGTTTAGGGCTTAGCACGGCTGGGCGCTGTGCCGCGGGGCGGGGCGGGGCCGGGCGGGTGCGGGCAGAGGAAGGGGGTGAGCGGCGGCCGATATGGGAGCCGGGGCGCCGGGCCGGGCGTCGGACGGGGAGGGGCGGCGTGCAAGCGCGCCGCGCCGCCCGCCGCCGGCTTGCGCGTGTGGGGGACACGCTGGCCCCTGAGGCCCGCGCGGCCTTTGGGACCCGCGCTTGCCCAATTTCGATTGATCCCCCGGCGGCCGCGGCCGCGCTGCTTCTGGTGAGCCCAAGGCTGAACCAACGCGCCCCCGCCCCCGGCCACGGCCGCAGGTGAAGGCTGCCCTAGGGAAGCTGCTCGAGCGCGAGGGCCTGGACGGCCTGCCGCTCTACGCGCTCGGCGCCAGCAGCGGCGGCGCGTTTGCGCTCGCGCTGGCGTCGGAGGTCGAGCTTGACGGCGTCTGCAGGTGGGCGGCCCGCGGCGCGTCGGTTCGGGGCCGCTGGCTCAGTTCCACGGCGACGCGGCGGACCGCGGCGCGGCTGGTGGGGCCGCGTAGTGATGTGGGGTTCTGGGCCATGCGGCCGCCGCGGGGCGCAAGGTTGGGCTGCGGAGGGGCGAAGGAGAACGTGGGCGGTGCAGCCGAGGCCGCGATCGCGGAGACGAGCGCGCTCAGAGCGCGTGTGCAACGCTTGCTGACAGCGCCCGCCGCGCGTCCGCCCGCCTGCGTGCGGCCCTCGCGCCGCGCAGCCAAGTCATGGCGCACCCCGCGATGGAGCACCTGGCACGCGCCGCCATCGACGCGTTCGGGCGCTACCCGCCCACCGCCTTTGTGCTGATGCCGCGCGACGAGCGCACGGCCGGCGCCGTCCAGGCCAACGCCGCGGCCCTCAAATCCAAGGTACGGTGGCTAAAGGCCCAGCCAGGACGCGTGTGCTCGGCGCAGGCGCACCCGCGGCCGCGGCGGGCGGCCCGCCTGTTCTGGTGAGCGCCCCGCTTCCCTGCCGACGCCAGTTTACCTCTCTGCGCCGCCGCGACGCCGCCCGCCCCAACGTCCCCTGCCGCCCGCGCCCGCAGGCCGTGCCCGTGACGGTCCTGGAGGTCCACCCCGCCCGCGTGACAGCGGCGTGGCTGGAGAGCAAGGTGCCTGAGCTGCGGGAGGCGGCGCGGCAGGCCACGGACGGCGCCAGGCCCGCGGTTGAGGTGGTGGAGGTGCTGGCCAACGCAGGGATCCTGGGGGACGACGGCCTGCTGGCGGTGCGTGGGTGGGGGGGTCGCCGCCGTTTGATGGGGTGGGCGATGCATGCGTGGGG